TATTATTCGCTTTTTTTTGAATTTCTTCGATTTTATTTTATTTTCAATCTCGTAGCTAATTTATTCATAATTGAGTGTTTAATATCAGTGTAACAGTAGATAAAATTAAAATTCGAGAAAAACGGATAATTTGTAAAAACCAAATACCTAATTCGATATTTTCGATGTTCAATCCGAAATTCGAATATTGTTATTCGATTCAGTTCGATTTATTCATAATTTCGAATAATTCGCACAGCCAAGAAGGTACTTTAAAATAAAAACTATTTTCCACACAGCTTTGGTTTCTTTTTTCAAGTACTCTTAAAAGGTGGTTATGCTGCCTTGTAGTTTTAATGCCAAGGTTTTTACATTCTAGATGTATATCCACCTATGTTCGGCAAATTTGTGTCCTTATATAACAACGAAGGTTATACTGTCTGTATGTCGTGTCAGTAATAAATTGTCTATTGATTAAAAGAAGTGGAGCACGCTGTTATATTTTTGAATGGAAGTATGATATACGTATAGTATCTGGGTCGATTCTTAAACATAAGGACTCTAACCAAATAGAACATGAAACATTTTACTTACCTCACCTTTACTATCAAATGTCTAATTTGAAAAGATTGGAACAGTATTAAATAGATTTGTATCATTTACACCTGATTGCTACTGATTACCCTACAGTTTGCTTCATTTCAATTCGTTTTGTTATTATGATTTGGTTGTTTCACTTTTAGTACCTGCTCTTCTTTTGATAAGGATCTACCAAATCGTTAATATTATGTAGTATAATAATTTTATTTGTCCTGCATTTATATCAAACATATTTCATGAAATATGTATTAATGACAGTTTCAATTTGATATCAAACATTGAATTCATTCATTCAATTGAATATTTGAGACAAAGGTTTATCAGCAACTTTTTGTAATTGGATTTCAGACATCAAGAAAAGGATATTGTCAATTCGATTGCATTTTTTATATGTATGTTAGAAGTGAGGAGGTAATAGAGTAGGAGAACAGAGGGGGCTATAGAACTCAAAAAGAAATAGGCGAGGTACATTGGTAAATAGGACATTTCAGGCATAAAGGGCTAGTTAAAGACATATTAGAAGTAGAAACAGGAGTTATTAAAAAGAGCAGAGAGGACCGAGATTAGATTACCCTTCAGAAATAAGGATGTGGGATGTTTTAGGTCTAGGCAAATGTAAAAGTAGGGTTAAGATAGGAACGATTGGAAGCGCCTGTCCAGCTAGTCTTAGGACTGAAAACCTTATGATTGTAATGATGATGATGTGTGTTACTTGATTTTTTCGCTAATTGTAAATCGATTTTAACGATCCTTTTATTGTTGAATAGGTCACATTTAAAGGGTGGTCCGTTTAAATTTGAAAAAAATAAATTCGTCTGTAAGGGTAAAACATTGGGAAGGATTACGCAACTTCGTCATTTCCGTCTGATCTTTCTCATTGTATAGGCTACATCTCATGCGTTCTTTGAAATTGACAACTTTTTAGTTTAAGCATTGGCAAAGTTTATTTTTAAAGTTTCGACAACATACATTGAATCTCGATTGAGGTTCTGCCGAAGATGTTCAGCACACGTAAAACATAAATGCACTTTTCCCAAAAACAATAATCCTTGGACTCATTAAGACCACGGCCGATCTTGATTACTAATTGCAGTTGCTCTATTGTTCTTATGAGTATCTAATTATCTGGGGTGGTCGACAGGAAGACTCGTGCATTAGCCTATCAGTTCAGCTGTATATAGAATCGAGGCAAATAATTAATTCGGAATTGCGCTTGTTTCTGAAGGTTATTATCTATAGCTGTACCGAAGCTATTATCTAAGGGCCTGTCTCTCTCTATCTTCCATACAACACATCCAATGCAGTATGAATATTAATGCACCAGCCCTTTGTTTTTTAAAGGACGTTGTTCAGCGTCCGTATTTTATGATTTCAAAACAGCGGCGCGCGTACTAACAAAGGCTAGAGCCTTATTCGCTTGAGGGAATCTGAACCGTCATGGAACTCCTGGGAGAGATGAACAATTAAACAATTTTACATTGATACTTAGATAACGATAATTTTCAGAGCGCCTTAATTATTCATTGTTGTGAGATAAATAACTTATCTGTTATATTGCCTTCATTAACAATTTTAAAAAATCATGATTAAGTACTATCCGATCGGCAAAATAGAAACAAGGAGTGCTGAAACAGCATGTAGCAAGGACTATAAGAAATTTACTACTAATTAAAAGTCTAACGAATCATATACATATTTAATATGTTTACAATGTAATATATATCGGCACATCATCATCATCATCATTTACCCCTGGATATCTGTTGCTAGAGTTATACTGTCTTTAATGGTGTTGATCGCGTCTTCGATGTATAGATTAAAAAGAAGCGGTGATAGTGTGCATCTCTGCCTGACTCCCTTCCTAATATCTACTTATCTACGTTGCAAATCTACCTCTATAACTGCCTGTAACTCATCCCTACATTTTTAAGTATATTTAACATCTTGTTCCATTTAACATTGTCAAATCTAAATTTACAAATCCTATGTACGCATTCTTTCCTTTTTCTATCGTTTTCTCTATTTATTACTGGAACGATAAATCTACCAACCCGTACACCTACCACAAAAAAGAGAAAGATACCCTTGTCTTTCTTGGCTACTTGCAGGTATGGAACACTGCATATTATAAGAATTGTGCATCTTTCTCTTTATTTAAACAGTTTGTCTCTGTCTTTTATTACTTGTTAATGCCACTATAATTTATTTAAAGTTCATGAAACAGTCGGTAGTATACTAAAAAATGAAAGTCAAACTCTACAAACTAACAGAGAGAATGATGCACAAATTTTATAAAGTACCGGCAGTGTTCGTTACCTGCGGCTAGCCAAGAAAGAAAAGTGTATCTTTCTCTTCCTTGTGGCAAGTTAAAAGATTTATTGTTCTAGTATTATTACAATAAAGTAAACAATTTACAGTTTTGACATTATAATCCAAAACCGGCAAAATGAAACTGAATCAACATATCGAGATATTGATATATTTTATAGAATCAGAAGAGATTTTTGTTTCTCGGTTTGGAAGAAGCAATTCTTATAATACGATTGCCAATATTATAACGTAATTGTTACCTAGTATTTCCTCCTTTCTGTTTTTTGTAATTATCAAGAAGTTCTCTCCACTGGTAAATCATATCGTAAGTCTCCGGTAAATCCTTAATATAAATGCGTGATAGATACATGTACTCGTAAGGCTTGTACTTTTCGTGATTATCGGAGAGTGGGGCATCTCTAAAAGCAGCATCTTCGAATAGAAAGGGAGCTGCATCAATTCTGAACCCATCTACACCCTTATCTAACCAAAAGATTAGTACGTCCTTTTAAAAAACGGAATCTGTTTAGATAATTAATTTTAAACAAAAATGTTTGATGTTACAGGAGGATGACGAAGGCACTGCCGACAGGGAAGGTTAGGAGAACAGGGGGCGCTATGGTAAGTCAATTGGAAATAAGTAGGATAGTAGTAGTAGGACATCATCTCATACATAAAGGGCTAGTCAGAGGCATATTAAAAGCAAAAACAGGAGTTCAGAGGGGCTAAAGACTTTATTGTGATGATGATGTTCGAAATTAGAAATGGTTTTATATTTTGTAGCAACTATTTCGGACGTCCTAATAAGAAATAGGTAATGAATAATGATGTAATGTAATGTTATTCGTACTTTCCATGATGATAATGATAAAACTAAAAAGAATTACTTACTTTCATTTCTTGTACAACTTTAGGGTTTCTGAAGTTTAACTCAGGTTGAGCGGTGGTAAATAGATGGTAGTAAAATTGGTCCCTCTCGGCTACGTATTCCCAAGTAGAATATTTGAACATACCCAACTTTATGAAAATAGAAATTTAATTATGAGCTATTGGATTCTTGTTAAACTGATTATCTATTAAATTATAACTTACTTTCATTTCTTGTACAACTTTAGGGTTTCTGTAGTTTAACTCAGGTTGAGCGTTGGTGAATAGATGGTAATAAAACTGGTCCCTCTCCGCCACATATTCCCAGGCAGAATTTAGGAAAATGCTAATCTTTATGAAAATAAGAAATTTAGTTATTAGCTACTTGATTATTGTTAAATTAACTATTTAATCGAATAAGTGCTGTTTAATTTGTAAATTCGAAATCAATTATTGATAATTTGCAAATATTACTGCTTACACTTACTTTAAATTCTATTATAATATCTGTTATAACATAGCCATTGTGGCAAATAAATTCAAAGAGAAACTCCATTCGCGGAAATAATATTTATAACACAGGGGAGATGCCACATGATTGAAGAATAAAATATCGATCTTGAGAGAAAAAGATGCTAATGACTTCATGGCCATTACTTAAGATCTTGAGTATATCTTGTTCTCGAATTGGGACTATCGGCAATAGAGAAACAAAAGGATGTTATTTAAAATGTGTATGAAAATAAATAAATATAAAGATAGCAGGTAATTTAATCATATGATCACTGCTAATCTTATTGAAGCATTTTCTTATGTTTTAATTTTATTTTGATCTGATTTTAATAGGTAAGTACTTTAGATGGTCGAGATTAAGATTTCTTAATGCAAGATTTAAATCAATCAAGACAATATAAACATCACGTATTAAAGATTAATACATGAACAAGATAAGACTCGAATTTTCATTATTTCTCGATAACAAGATCGATATTTCGAAAATATCCTGTCTTACCCCAGTCTTGTAAGTACAAATTACACGTGCACTAGTAATACAGTATTCGCTTTCTAATTAACAAGAAGGTATAAACAAGATTACATTGTATATCAATTAATTAATCAACATAACAACGCTACATTTATTAGAGATTGTTGTTGCAAAACAAAATATTTTTCAAAATATCATCTTGTTATCTGAAAATAATAAAAATTATTGTTCTCGTGTCATTTTTGTGTGCGTGATCTTGATATTATCGTGACTCATTTTTAATCCTCCAGATGTTGATATTTTTTTGTGTATCAATACTTTGAATGCAAATAATGTTATTTATAAAGAAAAGTCATATGGAGGGATAAGCATATGGTAATTGTCCCCAAAAGATATTGCATCGAAATTTTTGGGATGTATTGGTACTAAACAATTACTATGATGCGGAAAGCTTCTCAAAGAAAAATATAAATAGCAATATTTATTGGTTAGTGACGTTAAAAAGAAAACTTTTTTATGTCTTTTACTATAACGTTCTTTTCAAAATTCATGTACTTTCGGGCAACACATAATTTAAAAACACCTTTTTTTTGTTAAAAAAAAATTATCTTTGTTTTTGTAATCATTATTATTATTATCTTTTTTTTCTGTAAATGTGTCACATTTAATTAACTTTATCATCGAACAACATTGGATTTTTTTTATTTTTTACGTTTCGACTAAAAATATTAGCAAATTCTGAGATT